CATGCTGCTCCGTGACTCCCGTCTGCCCACAACTATTTCCAGTGCTGCAGAGCTGGCAGGTGGGGGTAGGGGTGCCTGACTGTGCCTGGGCAGGAGGGGAGCCGTGCTGCGGGGTCCTGCAGGATTTAAGTTCCAAATGTAAACTTGGCTGGAGGTATTGATGAACCCAGAAGCCCCCAGAAGTGGGAATTGAAGCACTGTGGAAAATAACGTGCAGAGATTGTTGCCTCTTATTGATAAGTACGCACGTGTGTAAAATGTGAATGGAAAAAGCTCAAGGAGAGAGGAACATGAAATCCTGTTGGCTCTGGGCTCCTGGGACATGAAACGTTCCCCCCCCAATGGCTGTGGCTCTGCCTGCAGCCCAGAGAGCCACTCTCTGGCTGTACCTGGGCTGGAGCTCATGGTGGCAGCCCATGTTGCTTACAGAAAGAAGAAAGGCCTTTGCTGCTTTGGAAGATGTCTTCCAAGATGCCTTGGAAGATGTCAGCTATTTATCTTTCCTGTGTTTAGTTGGGCTTTGGAAAGGGACAAAGGCACTGTCAGCACAGGAAAGTGCTGCGTTACCTCATCCGTCGCAGCTTGAAGGCTCTGCACTCTGCTCACAGTTTGGCTGAGAAGCAGCAGTGCAGTTTTTCTGGGGGTTTCACTCTTGGTTTTACAGAGCAGTTCACACATTGCTGCTGTGTCTGCTGCATCGAGGCATCCGGCGTTGTCTGATGCAGAGAAATACAAGCGTGTGTCACTGAAAAGCATTTCGTGTCAAGATCAATTGAGGAATGATACCACTCTATTTATTTATTTCATTTTTAAAGTAATTGGTGTCAGAATGGTCTTTTATGCTCCAGTCCTGGTCAGTTCATTCTGCTCCCAGTGTGACAGCAAGGAGGACAAGGGCAGTGCATGGAAGGCTGATCCCCTTGGGTTGCACAGGCAGAAGCCACTTCTCCTGGGAGCAGCCGTTGGACCATGTGGTGATGCAAATTGAAACTGATGCAAATTGGGAGGTGAAGCAAGAAGAGACTGGAAGCAGGAAAGCCGTGATCAGTTTTTTTTTCTATTTTTAAAGCATTGCAGGAGCGTTGGTTGTTGCTCCTTCTCCTCATGTTTCCTTAATCCCTGTTTCTTCTAATTGGCATGTGGGTACTGTAGTGACTCCTCATAGGGAGCCAGATTTAGAAACAGAGAACTCGGTCTGATTGTGTTTCTCCACTGCCTTTTCCATCTCCCTTGCAATAAGAGGGCAAATGACATCTTCCAAGGAAGTGGTTTGTGGCCAGCTGCCTTGTTCCTGCTGTGACACTGTGCTGCAGATGGGCTTAGGAAGCCAGTGTGGGTTTGAAATGCTGCTTTCGGTTCCCTGGTGCAGCTGCAGGAGTGGGCTAGCGTGCTGTCATGCATCCTCCAGCAGGGCCAGGTGAGCCCGGTGCTGTACAGCAGGCTCCAAGTGCTGTGATTTGAGGTTTGCTTTTGGTTTCTGTGGTGCCTGGTGAAGCACGGCCACTGCCTGTCTGTCCAATGACTGCAGAGGATCCTGTGATGTTGTTGGACCAGAGCTGGAGATCGATTCTCTCAGGGATGGCCACTGTTCCCATCATGGAAGTGCCCCCAGGTGCCATTTGTGTGCGTGTTGTCAGGATGGATGCAGGATGGAGCATCCATTGCAGGCTTAACGTGTTCCAAGGACTTTGGATTTCAAAATGATCCAGCTCTGCTCTGACTTTCGCTGACTCCTTTGTTTCCCACCGAATTCCAGATTCAAAATAAAGCTCATTCCCTCTTCTCAGCGTTTCAAGCCCTTCCTGTCAGCTCGAGGCACAGGAGATCTTCAAAGAGTGCATTCCTTTAAAGGCTCTGCATAGAACCCCAGGAGCTGCCTGTGGTGGGATGCTGCTGAAGCAAGGTCAGGGCTGCTTTGACAATCCACACTCAGAGCCATTGTGAGCCCTTAAGTACCACGGTGCAAAATGACCATGTGGGCCTCAGGGATGCTTGGCTGCCCCTCAGCTCTTGGCAGCCCAGGGAGGGGTCTCCCACCCAGTGAGCAGCAGTGCAGTGATCTCTCCAGGCTGTGAATGTGGGTCTCACTGGGTGTTGTGAAGGGAGTGCTGCAGGAGCAGAGGGAGCCACGGTGGGTGCTGCTCTCCACAGATGAGTGCACCAAATACTGCAAAGGAGTTGGACTTCTCAGGGAAATTGCATGCATTCGTAAGGCTGTCAAGCTCCTGTAGTTGATGGATTGGACGAGAAGAATAAAATGAAGAGAACCTTTGTTTACTATTATCATTACTGTTTTCCCCTGCTCTTACTGACTCCATTGCAGCAGTTATTGCTGTGCCAACAGCAGGGCTGCCTGGGAGCTGGGATGGAGCTGAGTGTGCTGTGCACAGAGCCAATGGTTTCTGTGCTTTGCTATCGGCAGCGTTTTGGACCCCATCCAGGTTATTATCACTGCTTACAGAAGTAAAAGCAAACTGTGCACTTCAAGGTCACAGACAAAAATATGTCCCTGAAGTTTGGCTTGTTGGCTTGGGGATTTTGGGAGATGATGAGCAGTTTGGGGTAAGAGTATTTTTGTCCTGTAACCAGTGGCTGACCAGAGTAGGGCACAGCCCTGCACCGATGCAATCTTCTCTCTGTCTGAAGCACGACTGAGTTCTCAGTGTCTCCTCTCCTCGCTGGAGCCTATTTTAAACCCAAGCAGCGGTGCTGCCTGTTGCCTGGAAACCTCCTCCGAGCCCAATTGTAGCCATCCGCAGCTCCATTTATTTCCTTTCCAAAGCACCATCCCAGGCTTCTGCTTTGTGCTTTTTGTTTGCTTGGCTTGTTTATTATCTAAACCAAGAAGGAACAAAACTCAGTGACTTTGTGGGAATGTTTTTTTTTGCTTGTCAGCACATTGTGGTGCTGGCAGCTGGAGTTTGGCACCGTGTAAGGGTGTCCAGGCAGAGCAGGGCTGGGAGCAGCCGGAGCTGGGAGGATGGGTGAGACCCAAAGGGACCTCCAGCTCTACCACCATTGGGTCTGGGGGTTCTTATGCTGCTCTGTGACCGTCTCCTTGAAAGGGAAGAAATATCTCAGAGCCCTTTCTGCCCCCAGTTCCTGCAGCTGCCTTGCTGAGCGTGGCCTGGTGTCTCTCCCACAAGCTGGGGGCTCACCATGCTGTCAGCACCCCTCCTGCAGAGCTGTTGGTTGGAGCTTTGTTGTCACTGCAAGCTGACAGATGAATGGAGGGAAGCACAACCTGGAGATTTCTGTGTCTATGGAGCCCTTTTTAATTCACTTAGCATTTGCCTAAACGATTGGCCACCTTGGAGCCTTAATTGGCACAGCCTCTCCCACAGGAAGGATTGAAACAATTGCTGTTTCTGCTTGGGTAGAGGGCACCATCAATCCCAGCGGGATGAAACAGCACTGATTGCAGGAGCCCAACTGCAGTCCTCTGTGGTTCTGCCCAGGGAGCGCAAGGGGAGCACTGTCCCTGGGTCACAGCGAGCTGGTGGCAATCCAGTGGGCAGCAGAGAGTTGGAAGGCGAGGTGTAGCCGCTGTTTCAGCTGTTTGCAAGCAGTCCTTGTGATATGAATGGCGCATTTTGCAAAAGGGAGAATGTTGCTTTGTTCTCCCAAAGGCGGCACTGAAGGAGGCTTTGAGTCGAGATGCAGTTGAAAGGTTCATGGTTTACTGTTGGCTGTTTGTGTTGTTTGTTTTAAAGAAATCGTGTTGCAGAGCAGAGAGATGCACGAGGCTCATCGAGTCACTGCTTGAACTCAGTGTTCAGACTCTTCTCTGGGTGCTCTGCAGCATCCTGGACAAGGTGCTGGGGTGCTAAGGCTGAGGTGTGGGGGATGGATGCTTCTTCCATCCCCATCTTTCACTCAGTGCTGATGACTGAGAACAAACAGACCTATATACCAAAGAAACCGAGAGGGAATGAGTCATGCCCTGATGCGTGTATCTTTGCTTCTTTAGGGAAGGAGAAGAGCACTGTAGAGGCTGCAGATTGTGGCATGGTCACTGGGTTCGGGCACTGTTATTTAGTTGGGCAGAAGGTTGGCAACGTGATGAAATATTTCTGCTTATCTGAACTCTCCCATTAGCCGTTAGGAACAGAAGGACCTTCTGTCAACCCCTCTCTTCTGGACCTGCTCTGCCATTCTGTACAGCAGGAGCACAACCCACCCCCAGAGCCCCCCCACCCCGTGTCACTTGGGCTGGGTTTGCTCCGTGGTGCCCAGCACAGTGCAGTGATGTTGAAAGCAGAACTGGTTTAGTTCTGTAGTGCTTTGCACGTGGGCCATCTGTGGCTTTGCTGCGGAGGAGTCTTGGACTCTGCCAGACGATCCGTGGACGTTTATTGCCTTTGTATCTAAGCAGCACTTCCCGTACAGGTGACCAGCTCTGTCCTGCTCCGGGGGAGGGAGGAGACAGAAGGAAGAACAACGTGTGTATGGGGGAGGCAGGAACGGGAACTGCAGAGAAACAGTGGAAACTGCGTGGTCACAGATGGTAAAGCGAGAGGGTTCCTCATCCTGACTGGGCTGGAAGCGTGAGCAAACAAAATCACGCTGCTCATGACATAGCAAGGGAAACAGATCGAGTGCTTGGGGAGAACACAGAGCTTGTCTGCCTGGATTCAGGGCTGGAGGAGTTGAGAAAATAAAATGGAGGAGGAAAAATGAGGGCTAAAACGCACATAATGGGTTTTCCCTGGTTAACCTCTCCCAGCTGCACGCAGTTGGAATTCATGTTAGAGGTTCCTTGCTTTGTAGCCTGTAACTTAGCTCTGTCTGAGGCGGTTCCCCGTTAGGGCTGATGTCTGTCTGTCATTTTTCTGTTGGCTGTCAGAGGATTCGAGATGAGGCACAGCAGCGCAAGGTGTTGTGGCAGTGCTGGGCTCTGAGCAGCGGCTCTGCGGTGCCCCAGGAAGCAGCTCTTTGTTGGCTTTCTGACCTACTGCTTCTCTGCAGCTCTGCTCACCTGTCTGTTTTCTCCCTCCCAGAATGAAGAGAAGAGGAACCTTTCCCTTGGGGGCCATGTTGGCTTTGACAGCCTCCCGGATCAGCTGGTCAGCAAGTCTGTCACGCAGGGCTTCAGCTTCAACATCCTCTGTGTGGGTGAGCACAGTCCTGCAAGCAGATGGGGGTGGAACGGGCGGTGATGGGGTTGGGACTGTGTTTCCCTATGAGTCCTGCTGGGAAACAGCCCCAGCTGTGACCTTGAGCACGTCAGAGATGCCTGGCTTTGAAAGAACAGCAGCCCATTTCCCACAAAAAGAGCAACAAAAAACAACGTTCCATCCCTCCCTACAAGACAGCACCCAGCCTCCTCACCCTCCTGCTTGGGGTTGAGTGAATCAAATCTCAGAAATGTGATCATCTCTGAGCTGCAAAAGGGATGGGGAGAACAGTTTTTGTAGATTGTGAAGTGTGCATCTTGAGGACCGTGAGCAGCTGCAAGGGGTAGACTTAAAAATAACCTCATTATGCTCTTTTTTTTTAGTTTTGGTATTTCTGTCATTTATCGGTCATGCTGGTTAGAGTGCTAGAAGTGAACTGCTTCCAATGATGAGAGCCTTCCTAGAAGCCCAGAGAGAGGGAGTAGAAGTAGTGGAAGTGATGGACTGCCTGCAGAGCAAGTAGGGCATGGAGGGCTGTTTCCTTGGAAATTTGTCTGTGCTCTCCTGGCCAATAGAGCTGTGTTTTGTGAATGAGGAGTTCAAATAGAGCCCCTTGTGGGTCAGTCTGGAAAAGATCAGTCTCATACATTTACCTGCAGCAGCACTTCAAAGCCATTTCACAGAAAGCCGTGAGCCAAATACTCTGGGCTGGAGCTGGGTTTGTCATGCATTCCAGGTATCCTTCTACAGCTGCTGGAAATGGGGCTTACAGATGGGAAACTTCTGCTCATCTGGCCACTACTTGTTCTCCAAGAACTTCTTTGTCTCTGCTGAGTTTCTCAGTCATCCCCATTTGCCTCCAAAAGCACTCCCCCGTGCATCTCAGGGGTTCAACCCAGCAGAAATGTTTCTGCTGTTAGAAAGATGAAGACACCCTACTTTAGTCTTCCAGCGCCATGCTCTGCTGAAGTGTATAGTGAAAATTCACCGTGGAACAAGGCCTCTAATAACACTGTCATGCCTTGGCTTTCGTGTTGCAGATGCTCATGCAGCATTTTTTGTATTGTTTTCACAGTGTTTTCTGATAAACTTGGTTCTTTGTTCAACTCCTTGGCTGGTCTGGTATAAAGAATCATGGGACAACAGGGCAGCCTTGAGAGAAACAGAAATTATAAGGAGAAACTCCAGTAATCAGAAGTCATATGAGGTGAAACCAGCTGAGTTGCAGACACCATCTCTGGGCTGGGTTGCAACATCTCCTTGTGCAGCTGGAGCTCTTCCGAGCACAGCAGCGCCTCCTGCTCCACCACACAGCTGTAGCTATCTGTACAGGTTATCTGTATGCATGGATTCTCATACCTGTGTTGTTATTTCCTCCAGTTCAGCTGATGTTGTCTGTTGCACGGGTGTCACCAAGCAGAGATGTGCAGTCTGTGATATGTGCAGAACAGCACTGTGCTGGACAGCCTGCATGTGCCAAGGCAGATCTCACTGAGCGCTTGTGTGGAGCTTCCTTTGTGCTCAAAATGAGGAAGAATTCCACCTGCTGCTCCCTGATGTGTTTCTTTAGCTAGCTTCCCACCAAAAAAGGCTGTTTTTCTGCCTGCGGCTTGCAGGCTGTGTGATAAAATCAGTGTGTACACGCGCCTCTGCCTTCTGGTTTGAATGTGCAGCAATGCTTTTCCCTGGGTGATCCAATCCACATTGTCTCTGAACTTTATCATCTGACAGGGCCCAGATTTCCCCTGGCAGAAAAGTGAGCAGGCAGCGGCACAGCCCCAGCACTGCCAGCTAAAGGCAGAGCTGTGCCTTCAGAGGAGAGAGCTGCAGAGCTGGTTTTGGTGCAGCTGCTGCGTGGATGGAGGGAAAAAAGATTACAGCAGAATGGGCTGTAATCCTTTAGTCCTTTGACACACTAACTGTACACGTGAGACCCCAGCACTAGGGGTGTGCAGGAGGGACAGGCTGATGTAAGGCGTCCAGACCAAAGTTCAGCTGCACGGAGAAATCACAAAACTTCCATCTCAACTTTTTCTGCTGTGGAAGGAGATTTTTAGTCCGATAGCAAGTGGTCCTTGCAGATCTGTTTGCCTGTTTCTCTGCGCTGTAGTAGGCACCCTGATTTCCTTCCATATATATCTCTAAATGGGACAAGTCCTCAAGAGACTCCAATGATGAGACAGAGAAAGCAATTAAAAAGCCTGCTAGGGTTAGAAATCCCACAGAAGGGAGTGAGAGGAAACCTCTGTCAGACTTACCTGCCCTTCTGCAGTACAGCAGGACCCATTGCTCTGCACTGAGTGCACTGTATGTCCTGGGCTGCTGCTGTGTTTGGGATTGGCAACACCTGAGCCAGACCATTCTTGCCAATAGGAACAGCTGAGTTTTACTCCATCTCAGTTGAAGGCTCAAAAACACTGTACTAAAACTCTTCTTCTCGGCTTCTCTGGTACAGGTCCCAGGCAAAGTCAGCATTGATGAAGGGGGAAAAATGCATTCTATATTTGCTGAATTTGCTATATTCTATTTGCTGAATGTCCCCTGCTGGGAGGATGAGCTGCATGCTGGCGCAGGAAGCCTTCAAGGATGCTTTGTGACAATTATGTCTGGCCACAAACAATTTGTAGCAACCTTTCACGTTATAATTTAGTTCTGCTCTATAATTAATACCCTTTGAAGTGATAAATTCATGCTGCAGTGAACTGATGACTTCTCATTCCTAGGTGAGACCGGCATTGGGAAATCCACACTAATGAACACACTCTTCAATACCACGTTTGAGACCGAAGAAGCCAGCCACTATGAGAACGCGGTTCGCTTGCGGCCACGGACCTACGACCTGCAGGAGAGCAACGTGCACCTGAAGCTGACCATCGTGGACGCGGTTGGGTTCGGGGATCAGATAAATAAGGACGAAAGGCAGGTCTCGTGCCATCTGCTCGGCTCTTGCAGGCTCCTCTCCGACGTTTTGACACAAGCTGCCCATCGTCCTGCTTGCAGTCCTGCAGGGGTGGTGCCCACGTTTCTGTTAATGTAGAAACTCCCTGCAGTGCCTCTGGTTTTGGGGGCTGGATGCAGGGGGAGCTGGGCAAGGAACCAAAAAGAGATGGGAAAGGTCACATGAGGTCTTTCCTGAGGAATGCGAGCAGTGAACAAGCTGTCCTCAGCACGGGGTTGGGAATTAGCTGCTCTGGCCGTGATTGGTGTCTCTGGGCCTGTCTCATGTAATTACATCTTGTTCAAGCCCCAGGTAGAGGCTTTCTGGGACTCCAAGGTCTCTCCTTGTCATCTGGCGTTGCTGCAGCCAGATGGCTCAGCCCTGCGATCTCTGCACTGTGATCTGTGGAGGTGGTTATTTTCCATGCTCCACTGTCATTAGGCTTTGCAGCGCAGCCTCGGGAGGTTCCAGAAACCTTTGGATTAAAAGGTCTGAGCGTAAAGGCCACGCTTTTCCCTTGTAAGGATAAATTACTTCGATCTTAATCAGTATCATGATATATCTAGGAGAATTCCTTAAGCCTTCAAGCTGTGTGATTTTGATCTCCAGTCTTTGGGTTGCTAATGGTATGGTTTTAGTTACAGGCCGATAGTTGAGTACATTGATACGCAGTTTGAAAATTACTTGCAAGAGGAGCTGAAAATCCGCCGTTCTCTGTTCAACTATCATGACACGAGGATCCACGTCTGCCTGTACTTCATCACCCCCACTGGGCACTCCCTCAAGTCCTTGGACCTGGTGACAATGAAGAAGCTGGACAGCAAGGTAAAAGGTTGGAGACTGGTGTCCCCTTCTGGAAGGGGTGATACTTGTGCTAATACTGCCATGAGGAAGGCTCTGTGCCTTCTGTGTACCAGTGCTGGACACTTCTGCACCTTAGCTGAGCACTTTCTAGGGGTTGGGTAGAACTTGGTCTGCCTTGGTGGTTGATGAGGTCTTGTGCTGCTTTCCTGAAAAACAGCAGGTGGCAAAAGAGCAAGTGGAGAGTTATCCAGATTTGTTCATTTTTATGACAGCCATCGACTGCATCTCTGTCAGCTCTTCTTTAAGAGTGCAGGTGAGGATCATTTGAGATCCTGCAGTTCCTGTGGCAGAGCCCCCTGTGCTACACTGGCCAGCAGGGAGAGGGACTGAGTGCAACCAAGGAGTGAACTTCACAAGAGAGGGGCTGGTGCAGAGGAGGCGAGGGCTGAAGAGAAGTGCTGTCTGTGCCCAATGGTGTGCATGAGCTGCACTGCTGGCAGAGCTGGGCAGTCTGCATAAGCGTTCACAGTGCCTTATGACAGTGTAAATATGATAAGAAACTCACAGGATCATAGGAAATCTAGAAGTGGGTCACGAGAGGGTCCGACTGGGGGCTGTTTGTTTGCACACGAGCAATTGCTGCCTTAGGGAACAGTGGGTTAACCGGCCAACCAGTGATATTCTTGCAGCTCAGAGGAATTTTCTGGCACACTTTTTTGTTCTAACTGGCTTCTAGGGAGCTGCAGGGACGCTTCAAGGGTCACTAATGACAGCAGCATCTCTTCCTATCTTTGCAAGAGTTTCCTGCCTTTAAGAGCAGTCATTAAGCAGCAAGGTGGCCCCTCTCAGATGGCAGATGCTAATCCACTTATGCAGAGGGCAAATGAGGCAACTGGGACCCTGCAGTAACCTGGGGTTGCCCTGAATTGTATGAAGGGAACATGCTCTTCTCTGGCTGTTGATCACATGCAGCGCTATTGGACTTTCCTGGTGGGCACAGCTCCCTTGGCAGTCCCTGCTGCTCGTCCTCACCACCCGGGGCAGCTGCCCTACTTTTCCTTGGCCCTGCTCCACAGCAGGCACTGGCTTCCCATTACAGTGGCCTGCTGGTAACCATGGGGGCTGCTACACTGACTTCATCAAGAATCTGAAAACTTTCCCTTAATAAACTCTGTCTCTTGGTGTTGTGCCAGCATGACATGTTACCAGAAATATGTTTGGAAGAAAGCAGTTGCACAATTCCCCTTGGTGCTGGTGGTCCCACAAAGCCTTTTTCTGCCTTTGGTTCTGCATTCCCTCCTTTTCACATCTCCCTGTGGCTGCTTTTAATGTGGTCCTCGCATAGTACCAAAATAAATCCTTTGTGCTTGTGCAAAGATGGGAACTTTGTGTGCACACAAGCTTTTTATATTCCTAAAGTTCCACTTCAGTGGTCATCTCTGAGTCACGTTATCCATTTGCTCTCATCTCCCTGCTTACCATGGTAAGAACTTCTTGACTTTCATGGCATGTTGGCCTTGCACAGGTGCATACAAAATAACAATAAGCAAATAGAGACCACTGGTCTTTTGTGCATGTCAGGGCTGTGTGTTGCATTAATCCATCAGTGTCATCCTGGGGCTTTGAGATGCGTTCCAGACATTCCCTAAAATACTGACAGTGCTGTGCCCCTTGCCAGTGCACCTGAACTGTTTGCTCTTAGAGGCCAGCATATGTGCAGGGTGGAGCTGGGTGTAAGCAAACCCCAGACAGCTTTGTTTCTGCTCAGGAGCTGCAACAGCAGTGCTTTCTGTGTTGGAGCAGAGAGGCGAGGCACGCTGACTCACATCCACGGTGGTGTGAGCAACCTGAACCTGCTTTCTTGGGGAGCTTTGCATGGCTGTGGCCTTTGTTTTACAGTGGAAGAGTGGGGCACACGGAGGCAAAAGGTACAGCAGAGGCATTGCTTTGCAGCATGGTGTGCTGGCTCACCTTTTGAGACTGGTTTAACAGCGATTGCACAGGACTCTGTTTCAGTTACACCTTTGCTCTAGCATGCCAGCGGCATGGCAGCAGGTGTTGGGCAAGCTGCTGAATCTGTCATGATTTCAGTAATGCATCTTGCTTCGAGCTTACAAAATCCCTTCTGGGCAAAGCTGTTCTGTAAACAGAATCTTCCATTGTACTGTAATACAATATTCGATTGGCTGAGCTCATGGCCAGCTGTTATCTGCGGTATTGAATTACATCCAGAGAACTGGAAGTATCTTCAGCATGGTTTGAGGTAGATGGAGCTGGCTGGTTGCTACATAGGAAGCAGGTACACCCTGGCAGGGGTGGGCTTCCCTATGTATTTTCCAATTACAGCCCTACCCTGAAAAGCGATGGCATAACAGTGTGCTGCCCTGGGCATCCCTCAGCTGCCTGTTTGCTGTCCCGGGATGGTTTCCATTTCTGTGTGTTGTTATGAGCTGTGGCTAATTGCCCTTCGTGAGCTGACATGTCCTGGGTGGTTCACCAGCCAGCAATGATGCTCCAGGCCACTTTGTGCATCTACTGCTTGGTTTCCAAGGCAGGATTTCGCTGTTGGTTTAGTTGGGACTTGCGTTTGGGAACACTTTGGAGATGGGGGGGGTGGGGAAACCCAATTGCATTTTGTATTTCACAGAGTAAAAATGCATATGGTCATACTATATTAGGGAAAAAATATTTTCTCTCATCATTCTTATTTGGTTACATTCTTGAAAGTTTTATTTTTGGAGATGAGGAACGGCTCTGTGGTCAGAGAGATGTGAGAAGGAGGTGATGTGTGCCTGTGAGGTCGCTTTCTCATCTGAAACACGCTTCCTCTGCTCAAAGATTCCATCTGCAGCAAAGACTGTGAGCACCTGCACTGGTTTTCATGCAGCTTCTGCATGCCTGTCTGATTCAGCTGGCTGACATTCCAATAATTAACTTATTGATTTTGATATTAGATTTTTAAATGGAGGATAGCATCCTTCCACCAGGAGATATGAGGACGTTGCTCTGGGGTTCTGCCTGCAACCCAAGGTGATCCAGCTTGTGGCTCCCTAGATGTGCATGAAATCAAAACCCAGTAATTTTGTGCTTACATATAAAATTAATGAACTTGTGAGGGAAGAAGAGGGAAGGAGAGAAACACTCCAGTGCCCTGGAAGTCACAGCAGCCCTGGGAAGGTGGACTTGAGCTGGAAGGAGGTGGTACAGTCAGTATGGCTGTAGTCCTGGTAGGTTCCTGCTGGTTCCCTTCTTACTGAAGGGCAGCTGCACATATTTGTGTCAGGAAGAGATGGAATAATCCAGGACAAATGTAGCTGAAAAAAATCAGAGCTTACTGAGGTTCTTTTGCTGTTAATTAATTGTTGGCATTTGCGTTGGTGTTGGCTATTGATTACTGAAAATGCAGCAGCTTGCAGAGCCCTTTTGGGTTTTGAACACAGTGATGGACTTCCCTTTTTGGAGCTTGGTTAGAAGGGACTTGACCCATCGTTGGGTTACAGCTTTTCTGAGTTGTGCCTGCTGCTGGGAAGGACACACTGAGCTGCAAGCAGGGCTGAGCTGGTGCCTCGTGGGAGGAGAGGGGGCAATGAGTTAGGCCAGCTGAGAACAGACTGAAATCGCCTGTGGTGCTCATTTATCAGCGTGCAAGGCTGCAAACACTGCAGAGCACAAAGCCCTGCGTGTGGCCGTGTCTTTCTGCTCCTGCATGGGAGCTGATGAGCCCCGAGCCGAGCCTGCTGTGTGCGATGTGGTAGCAGGTCAGTGAGGCACCAGCTGTGGGCATGGCCCCTTCACCTTTGTAATGGGGACGTCTTCCTGCTGAGGAGTGGACTGGGGCCAGCAGACCTGGTTCTCTGTGCTTTTCAGGTCTTTGGTAAATGAGGCCAGAGCAGTAGCTGGGGAGAAAGTAAGGATTTCATCTTCTTGTGCCCTGTTCCCAGGCAGGTATCTGAGCTGTTAACACAGCTGCTGACTCCAGGGCATCCTGAAACTGTGCCCAAAGGAGAATGTGGGCCTCCTCCTGTCCAGCTGCAGGCATGATGTGGGCAGGAAATAGTTTGGGGGCAGCCAGCAAGTTAAGGAGATTTTCTTTTGGAACAAGGAAAAATGTTTATATTTAGTGAGAGCTAAACCAGAGTGGGGAGGAAAGATTTAAGGAAAAGCACTGAGCTGCAGAGAGAACTGTAGCTGGAAAGCAAGGTCATTGATTTTAGTGGGCACTCACTGGAGAGCAGATGGCTGCTGTGGATTTCTGCAGGACAAAGAGCTGTGGGGAAACGTTAAATGGCAAATCTCTCTTCTCATTTCATTTCTCTGCATTCCTGAGTTGTGCTGCTCTGAGTCTGGCTGCCATTCAGGCAGGCTCGTGGTGCTGTTCAGGCTGGGTTTGCAGTGCTGTGCGTGGCTCCTGTGGGCTCAGCAGTGCTCTGATAGAGGCCCTGTGAGTGCTCCTGCCGCTGCTGGAAAGCACCTGTGGACTTCTTGCTCTTTCTGCTTAAGCACAGGAAGGTTTCACACCGTCTTGCTGCAGCGTTTCATCTTTGCGCTTGTCTTCCAAAGCAGCTGTTCAGCACAGCCAGCACTGACGGGGTGACGGCTGCAGATGTGACAGTGATAATGGCTCTGTCTCTGCTGAAGCGTGTAGCAAAACACACAGGCAGGAGCAGAGGCTTTGATCTGCTGGTTGGGTGCATTTATTGCCGTTTGTCTGCAAGGCGTGTAGGCAAATGAGTGGAAAACTCTTCCCTCTGGTGTTCAGTGCTGCTGCATCTCGCAGGCACAACCTCAGCTCCCCCCACTGCCCAGCTCTGCTGCTCACCTCTGCTTCGTCCTTCCTTCTGCTCCAGGTGAACATTATCCCGATCATTGCCAAAGCAGACACCATCTCCAAGAGCGAGTTGCACAAGTTTAAGATAAAGATTATGAGCGAGCTGGTCAGCAACGGTGTGCAGATCTATCAGTTCCCCACGGACGACGAAGCAGTGGCTGAGATCAACTCTGTGATGAATGTGAGTAATGCTGCCAACTGCAGGCCTTCCAGAAGTTGTGACACATTGAACTGCTGTGCAAAAACTCGTCTGAAAGGCAAGTTTCCTTGGGATTGTCCAGATGCTAAATCTGTTTCAAAGTCGAGCTGTGGATCTGACAGATGCCTGAGGCTGTCGCATACAGAATTAATTAAAACGTGGCTCTTATTTAATATCTGTGGGCTCTCTGGAGACGCTCATCTCGGCTCTAGAATTGGATTTATTGGATTTCTGAAAAATACTTCCTTCAAAATTCATTTTATCTGTTTTTAGGCTGCTTATCATTTGAGGAGGGAAGAACTTCAAATAAGAAATTGACAGTTAAGATCTATGTTATCCTTCCACTTAAGGACACTAAGCAGAGAGAACCCAATTTGAAGAAGGAAAAACTGTTAGACTCCATTTTGTCTTATTTTAAACTCAAAGATCAAATTCAGATGTGGTGGAAGAATATGAAAAACCAATTTCAAGTTGAGGAATTTGGCTTTACTCCCAGCTCAGAGTTTTACCTTTTGTGGAATAGAGACAGCTGACGTGTTTTCGTGTTTGTTTGTTTGTTTCCTAAATAAAACATGTGGGAGGGATAAATGTGCTGCAGCCCTGAGCCTCGTGGGTGTACCACAGAGCAGTGTGCCTGGCCCTGGCTCCCTGCAGGGCTGTGCTTGTTGCCTTGAGTGCCCCATTCCTTGCAACCTTTGGTGCTTTGCAGCCTCAGAGAGCACGTGTTGCATCCTGCACGTGGCACAGCAGTTGTATGTGGGCATTGGAAGGGAACGGCCTGTGTGTGGATGTCTTTGCTTGTGTTTTCTGCGAGGCAGGGAGCTCCCTGCTCTTGGCACACAGAGAGATGGCAGCTGCGGGAGCAACCTGACAAATGGAGAGAGGCAGATCAGCAGTGATCCTGGAGTTCCCATAATATTTCCTCATTAAGTTCAGTCCAGCCAGCATTGCTAGTAAGCTGCTCTGCTATGGCAGAGGGGAAACTGCTCCGAGCGTTGGAGGTAGAGGGCTTCGGAGGAAAGGTTTTTGGATAGACCCTGGGTTGGGATGAAGGCAACCTGGATGTTAAGCTGACCTCCGCAAGGTTGGCCCAAGGACCGAGCCCTGGAATCACTGAGGCTGGAAAAGACTTCTCAGATCCCCAACCCCACCATGCCCACTGACTGCGTCCCCCAGTGCCACATCCTCACAATTATGAACACCCCCAGGCTGGTGATTCCTCGCTCCCTGGGCAGCTGTGCCAGAGCCGACTTCTCTTTGGAGAAGAAATTATTCCCAATACCCAACCTGAACTTCCCCATGTGCAGCTTGGGGCCATCCCCTCTTATGCTATTGCTGTTATCCAGGAACAGAGGCCAACCCCCTATTGCTACCACCTGCTTTCAGGGGTCATAGGGAGTGATGAGGTCTCCCCTGAGCTGCCTCTTCTCCAGACTGAACCGTTCCAGTTCCCTCAGCTGCTCCCTACAGGATGTGTGCTCCAAACTCCTCACAGCTCCGTTGCCCTGAGTCTCTGCTGTCACTTCTGTTTCAGGCTCATCTGCCCTTTGCTGTGGTTGGCAGCACAGAGGAGGTGAAGGTGGGGAACAAGCTGGTGAGAGCTCGGCAGTACCCGTGGGGAGTGGTGCAAGGTAAGCTGCCACCTGCATGGACAGATGCATGCACCCTGCAGCTCTGCCCTTCCCAGTGTGTGCAGGAAAGTGTGCTGTGCTGCATGGTGGGGATGTGTCCCATGCAGCATTGTGTGGGTTGGCCAGTCTTGCCTTTGAATTCCCATAACCACCAGCATCTGAAATAAGTTGTCTGAGCAATTCTTGGACTTGCACCCACTCTGGCATGGAATCACTGTATCCAAAGAACTTGGTTATCCCATGGGAGATGGCAGCTAGACATCCATGGGAGGGGAATCTCTGGAGTTGGGCTGAATGTGCATTAGTACTCCTCCCTCTCATGTGTGTTTTGCTGACTCCTCACTTGTTTTCAATCAGTTGAGAATGAAAGTCACTGTGACTTTGTGAAACTGCGAGAAATGCTGATCCGAGTCAACATGGAGGATCTTCGGGAGCAGACCCACACCCGCCACTACGAGCTGTACAGGAGGTGCAAACTGGAGGAGATGGGCTTCAAGGACACAGACCCAGACAGCCAGCCCTTCAGGTGAGGGCCTTCACATCTGCCATCGTGGTAGGGCACCAGCACCCCAAAGAAAAGCAGAGGTTTGTGGGTGATATCTGCCACGCTGGGCTGGAAGATATGAGCCTTGCATTTGAACTTGTTCCCTTCCCTGCTTCTTTGTCCTTAATGAAGCAGGCAGGCATGCCTTTTCCCCTAAGTCAGTGTTGTTCAGAAAGTCTAGATTCCGTTTGCTTTCTTACCCAGCCTGCAAGAAACATACGAGACCAAAAGAAAAGAATTCTTGGGTGAGCTCCAGAAGAAAGAGGAAGAAATGAGACAAATGTTTGTTAACAAAGTCAAGGAGACGGAGGCAGAGCTGAAGGAGAAGGAGAGAGAGGTGAGTGTGCCAGAAACCCCTGAGAGGAGCCCAAAATACACTCAGCCATAGGATCTGGTCTCAGCAGCACACAAATCCTGGAATGCATGAGCAGATGCTTAGTAGACCTTGCCAGCCAAAGCAACACACACACATACACATATACACTCACACACACACCTTCCCCTGCTCAGGGAAGGGTGCACGGTGGTGCTTTCAGAGCAGCATCACTGGTTTAGATGTTTCAGAAACAGAAGTCTTGCCCTCCCTGTGCCGTGCGTAGGAGACAAGGCTGCTGCTTGGTGAGCAGAGGGCAGTGCAAAATGGTTTGGTGAGCATCGGGTTGGAGGTGCACAGTCGCAGGGGTCGGTCGGTGGGAGGCCATGGGCAGCTGCCGTGCTGCAAGGGGAAACAGATGGACCATCTTCCAAGGAGTGAAGGGTCACATCATATCACAGAATGGCCTGGGTTGAAAAGGACCTCAAAGGTCAGGAATGTGGGATCCCACTGTGCCCTCAGTCCCTGAACTGAGATATGCGGGGGGCTCAGGGGGCGGGGGGTTATGGGGCTGGTGGTCGTGCCTGGTGCAGTGCTCACAGTGCCTGTCTGCTGCAGCTGCATGAGAAGTTTGAGCACCTGAAAAGGATACACCAGGAAGAGAAAAGGAAGGTGGAGGAAAAGAGGAGAGAGCTGGAGGAAGAGATGAACGCCTTCAACAGGCGGAAAGTCGCGGTGGAAACTTTGCAGTCCCAATCCTTGCAGGCTACCTCACAGCAGCCGCTGAAGAAGGACAAAGACAGGAAAAAGTAAGTGACCAAACTGGAGTGTCTCCTTTGCCTCTGGGAGGGGGCAAGCTCTCAGACTGCAGCGTTTTGAGAGATAAGGAAAAAAGGGTTTTGGAACCTAAATTTTACCCTTCAGGCTTTGTGTAAAGTGCAGGAGTGAAGGGGCCACCTGTGCCAGGGGAAGCCCTGCTGGCTGCAGGGTGGCTCCTCAGTTCTGGGCTGTTCTCTAAAGGCCTGGAGCCCTGCAGGGCACGCAGCCATGGGAGCACATAGCTGCTGGATGCAGGAAGGGAGCTGAAAATTGCTGTACTGTCTCCCCAGCAGAGAGAAGCAGGGACAGCCTTGGCACAACTGTGATGTCCTGCAGGCATGGTGCCCCATCCTGCTCTGCTCTGTGGCTTTAGGGCCTCTTTTTGTGGAGTGCTGTTTATTTTTAGAGGTAGAGCTGTGAAAAGCGAAACAAAACAGGTTAGAATGAAGAAACACAGAGAATTCATTAGGGCTCCATGTGATGCAGGACTCCAAGACAGAGTTCTGCTTGTGCTGAATAACTGAGAAAGCCCTTTTCCCCTAAAGGTAGAATTCTTATCTAGCTGCAGGTTAATTGACATTGCTGAAGCCAGCAGGAGTATGGAGGAGGGACATGCAATATAATGCTCTCTCAGCTGCCTGGTTATAATGATAGAGAAAACAGGTTTATTTAAAGAAGATTTATCTTTAAAAATAAAAATGGGGATGGTGCTGTCCGGCCCCCAGCCATTTTGGTTCCCAAGGAGCACTGTGCAGGAACAGGATGAGGCAAGCTGGCATGCAGGGTACTCAGTTTGTCCCTCCAGCACTTACAGTTAATTTGCTGTCAGAGCTGCGTGTGGTCCCAGCAGGGCAGTGCAGTCACAGCCTGGTGAGAGGAAAGAGATGGCTGGGAAGTGATGCCCTGGTTAGCTCCTGGCAGCAGAGTCGTGCTGGGGCTCTGAGCCATTTGTTTCTTCCTAGCAAGGTAACAGCATGTGTTATTTAACTTATTTGCTTGGAATGTAAGTGTGTTGGTGTTAAAATGGGTCTCCAGACCTGTCAGTATGCTCTGTGTGCATCCAACCTCACACGCAGCGCCCAAAGCAGTTTGCAAAACGTTCTGCTGGAAGTAGGGTCATATTGAGTGACTTCCAATAGGAGTGAGGGGTTGAGAACAGGACCCAGGTCTGACCTGTGGCCATGAGCACTCCAAGCATGTGCTGCTCTTTGTGCTGCTTGGCGGAAATGCAGCAGCTTCCTGCCTGCAACAGAAATAGGCTTCCTGCTGTGCACAGCACACTGCAAGCACTGCTCTGCTCCCTGCCTGCCCCTGTGATGGGGCTGGGGGCAGTGGGGCTGCCAGGAGTGAGGGCACCCTGTCCCTGTCCCTGGGTTCTCTGCAGATCTGGGGCCCAGCTGTGGGACTGCACTGTTAGTGGGGATAGAGCTAAGAAGTTCAGGAGAGGAAGCCGTTTGGGATAGGAGATATATTGTTGATGAGTTTGCAGCCTGGTTCCAAATGTGGGCATCTGTGCTGCAGCACAGATATATGTTATCCAGGATAACAATATTCATAGAATGGTTGGGTTGGAAGGGACTGTGAAGATCACAGAACCACAGAATTCTAGAATGCTTGGGTTGGAAGGGACCCCAAAGCCCTCACTCCCAGGCTGCGCTGGGCACCCACAGCCCTGGGCAGTGCTGCCAGTGCCTTGCTGCCCAAATTGTTAACTAATAATTGAGGACCAGGCTCCTCCCCAGTGCCTTGCATTGCTGGTGCCCCCTTCCCAGTCCCCCCTCCATCTGGCCACATGCTGGGAAGCAGCACATCAGGGAGTGCAGCCCCAGCCCAGGAGTTGGTTTGATGCGACCACAGGACCTCACACATTGTGATGGGTGCATGCACTCCTTGGTGAGCAGCACTCATGTGCTTGCTGGTTTCCTTACTGGCGTGTTGCTCATCTGTGAGCAGAGGCACATCGCAGTGCTGCTGGTGGGGCTGCTGGGACTGGGATTGTGGGCTCCAGGGTAGGAAGAGGCATTTTCAGTGCTTTTTATTATTATTTTTTTTTTCCTTTTATGGTTTGATTGATATATTTTTTTTAGGAAAGGTGGTTGAGCCTCTTGCCCCCTCTGGTACTTTAACCCAGGGTTTGAGTAGCATGAATAAGTGAGAAATGGAGACAGCAGAACTGCAGGTGGGGAGAGGAAACAAACGTGTTTGTGCTGAGATTCTCTGTGCACACACAGCTGAACAGATGGTGCTTTGTGGTGTGTTGTTCGTGGCAGCCTTGGTGTGATGCCAGAGCACTGCTTGGCCTTCCCTCTCTTTTTTTCTTTTCTTTTGTTAATCATTTCACTACATTTTGCTTTTGCTTAATTTTCCTAATTTTAATTCATGCTTTTTTTTTATGCTTTGTTTCTTTCAGTTAATCACACACAGACTTTCAGGCCAAGAGTGGACTTGGTGCTTTCATGTGTTTAAGTTGCTTGAGTTCCCCACCCCGTGACCCTTCTCATAACATTGTGTGCGTGGACCAAAGCGAAAGAGACCACGAGCATCTCCAGTGGTTGCTGTGTCACGACTTGCTGTGATCTGTGCTGTGTTTGAGGACGTAACCTTACTGTGTAAATGCTTCTAAACAACATCAACTCATCCCCAAAGTGAGACGTCCTGTCCTAAGCCCAGCAGCTGTGTGTCAGGTGCCCGCAGCAGTTGGCCTGAGCTCCCCTCACCCAGCAGCTGAATGCTCACTCCCTAGATTTCATTTCATTGTCGTTGGTTATGGGGACTGTTGGAGCCATCGCTCCACTGTTTCTCTCCCTCTGAAGGTGCTCAGATGGGAGGAGTGGTGTGAAGGATGCCAAAAGGTTTATTTTTCTAACAAAAGCCTGGATTTGAATAAGTTTAGAACAGGGGCAAAGCCCAGAGCTCAGAACCTCCGCCCTGGGAACCTTGGTCCGAGTCACCCCTGTTCCCCTAATTATATATTTTAATCCTGAATTTCTCTATAAACATATTCTTCCTCATTTATAATATATATACATATATATATATATATATATAGAAAGAGAGAGTGGTTAATAAAACTCATGGGACAACGTTTTGAATTTTCTTTACCGCTGAAGTTAGAATTTCTATATAGAAGGGTTTTCCATACGTGTGTGTTGTGTCCTGTGGAGCTACAGGAGCTGTGGCACTTCTCACTTAGCAGCACAATTCACTGCCCTGGAAAAGCTCTTGAAGCAGGCATCTTTCCTTTGTGGTTGTTAAAAGGGAAATAGCCGTAAGCACACACGTGCTGAGGAGATCCCTGGCCGTGAGCTGTGCTGCTTTTATGGCACTCTGCTCCATCTCACTGCTTTGTGATAGGCAGAACACAGCTGCACGGAGGCACACAGCAGTGTTCTCATGGAAAAAGGGTCGGACCCAATTCCATCAGACAGCAGATGGGACAGCTATTAAATATCAGCCCTGCAGCGTACTTGGAGTTCCAGCAAACACTGCTGTGGCTGAGTATTTGGTGGGAGTGTGTGCATTTCTGTTTAGGCATTAATGTTCGAGGATTCCTCTCATTATTTTTCCTTAAAGTCCCATCCTTATGCTGAGCTCTGGCTCTAGGTGCAGGTCTGTGTGAAGGGCACGATGCTGGATGAGGCGTATCCCATTGAAGCAGCTCTTTCATTTTTCCTTAATATGTGGTCAGGTGTGAAACTGTTTTTGTACAGATGTTGTCCCTCTCTTTGGGTGCACTGCCAGTCCTGTTTGTGTGACTTGGAGTGAAAGAGCCTCTCACAGTGCCCTCTGGAGTGGACCAATGCGGAGATGCACGCAGGCTGCATCAGCTGATGGCTGAGCACGGGGCTGCCCAGGCTGTGCTGCTGGGATGCGTTTTGTAGAGCAGCCCTCGTACCAAGAGAGCTGATGTGGTTTTTATTAAGAGAACATACAAAGAACACAACCGATGGTTACATCCAGAACAGCTCCAGCTCACCATTGACTCAGTTTGCTCATGCAGCGAATCAGAGGCACAATTTTGATTATTGCTAATGAGAGAAGCTCTGGTGTGCTAATTGCCTGTGTGAGCAGAGCTGTGCTGGAGCTGTTCTGCTTCTCAGGGCCGATGCTCCCGAGGCCTGGAACAGAGCTCTGACCACACTGCAAACCTTGCCACTCTTTTCCACTCAATGTTTTTTTCCTGATCTTGTGCTGCAGCCAATAAGATCTATGCAAATACTTTCTTTCTCCCCTGGCTGCAGAAATCATAAATCCTTTTTCCTCAGGATGAGAGATAGTTAGGGAACCGATAATAGCAACAGAGGTGTAGGAGCCTGCTGACCCGTGGCACTGCGGAGAAATCCCAGCTTTCCCTGGAGAAGAGATCCAGAATGTACATAATGATATGTTGATGATGATTCTGTATTCACTGACATTACTGTGACGGACGGCCCTTTCCTCGCAGCTGTCTGTTGACCTCAGGTCCATCTGCTCTTTGGGGCAGTCACCATCAGAGTCTCACAGCAGAGCTCATGTTTTGCTGTCTTGCACTCCAAGTACGTGGTTTTCCCTTCTTGGCTGAGGCAGGATTTAAACACGTGGCCTATAGAGCAGTTCTGCATCTTATTTTTATTTAACGAGTTGTGAATGCGTTGCGATGCTGATCTCAGTGCAGCCTGAACCTCCCCTCCCGCAAGCAGAGCACATGGCAGGACCGCCCTCCAGGATGGGAGCCATTCAGTTGCACTTCTTTCAGCCATCTCATACATTTCTCTGTACCACGTTGGCATTAATGGGGAAAAAACTGTTACTGTTTAAACGTTGACCACCATCCTCACTGTGTGCTTCCTAAGCTAAGAGGTGCCTGTGGGGCTGTGAGCTCTGCAGTCTGCCTGCTCGGAGCAGGGAGGGGTGCACTCTGAGCACTGCAGCCATTTGCTTTGCCATTCCAAATGTGTTGGGTGATTTTGCCTTTCTTTCTTTCTTTTTTTTTTTTTTTTGACTTTCAGTTCTTTCCGCTCACTTTGTAATTATTTTTTTTTTCTTTTCTTTTATTAAATCTCACATGTATTTTGAGTTTTTTGTGGTGTCGTTTATTTGAGCAGTGCGTTTCCTGTGCTGTCTGGTTGACATCTGTGAAATAGCAATGTGTAAAGCACAGAAGGTGTTCCCAGATCTCAGGTCTTATGGACTTTGGGAACACTCAGAAATACGATGAACCAACTTCTACATCACACACGATCCCTGACCCAGAGGGAAGTCCTAAGGCGTCGATCCAAATGCAGTCCCTCCTTGAGCCAAAGCTGTCTTTAAGTTCTCCTCTGTGGGATTTGTGTACCTACCAGTGTTTTTGGGGATGTAATGACGCCGAGCAGTTGATCAAAGCACAGCCTACAGATGGTGTCTGGATGGTATCTCCCCATAACAGAATAGGAGCAGGATGGGCCTTTTCAGAGAAACACCTCACTGTCCTTTTATATGGCCAGGAAAAGAGCACAGCTTCAGCCTGGGGTTCTCTTTTGGGGGATGATGGCTGATGGAGCTCTGCTCACAGCCCCATTTGGTGTCAGCTCTGTGGGACCTTGCTGCCTGAGGAGCTCAGCTCAGCCTCTCTGGGTTTTATTTGCTGCTGGGCTGAGGCCAGTGCTGCACTGAAGGCCAACCTGAACCCCAACCATACAGCTTGGCTGATGAGTGCTGCCCAGGTGGTGCTGCTGATGGAGGTTTGTCCAGCAGCGTGCATCAGATTTGTACTTCAACCTGTCTGTACTTAATGTGATCTGGCGCTTAAATATGATTCTCTTTTGTTCTTTCTGTAGCTTTTTTAGTCTTCCCAGCGCATACTCCATAACAACAGGAAGATATGTTAATTAGAAGATTTATTAAGGCCAAAACATCTCATGCAGAAGAAATTAATTGGTGCTTTCACCTTTAAGCTTGCAATATATTGCACAGAAGAGATTGTGTAGCAAGGACTAAGATACACTGATTGATTGGGAAAAGTTTGCTTGATCAGGTCTCTTGATAAAGTTGAAATCCAAGGTATTTGCCAAAAGATAACCTGCTAATTATGGCTGATGCATGGCTTACACTGAAACCAAACACTGACCTCTGGGTGAGGGCCCAGCCGTAGCATTTAACACTGTGACTGAACTTCCCAGGGGAGAGGAACAAAGTTGGGTTGGTGGAGAAGCGCTCAGCGTGCTGCTTGAGCTGCTGCTGCAGTGGGATTTGGTTTGTTCCTCTCCTTGTCTGGCTTGGGATGTCACTCCAGAACCTCTGACCGACCTTTAACACTACTGCTGGAGTCTAACATTTCTGAACAATAAGCAATAACTTTTCGGCAGCTTTGTTCTGTAGACTTACAGGTGTTATAACCCAAATCCCTGACCCCCAGTTTCAGTGTTACTGGGGCTGTGCCCCCCATGCCTCAGTGTCAGCCCTTTCCAGCGCTCCGTGCTGCAGGCACCTGCCCAGCTCTGCTCCTGCCCTTGGGCTGGGGATGCTGGGTGAGCACAGAGCCATCTTAAGGGACAGAGCTCGCTGTGACCTCCTCATGAAGGGGAAGCAGTTCAAAGCTGGAGCCTGGGCTGCGACTCCTGTGTTTATGATGCACTGAGTTTCTTTTTTACACAAACACTTGTTGAAACAAATAAAAAAGCACAGTGCTCCTGCCCAGGTCTGGCGTCACACAGGACCAGGGTGGCCCCAGTTCCTTTTCATTTTAAACAAACCTGTAAAGGAATCTCAGGACTGACCTGCTTGTACCGAGGTTGGGTTTAATAAAAACAGAACTGACTTGTTTAACAAACATCTGTTAAACACGTTTTGTACACTGCTTACATTCACTGGAGGAGCACAGTGCTATGTCCACGTGTTCAGCCTTCACCGCTGCCCCTTCTCACTGCCACCTCGTGCCTGGCCGGGCTGCAGGACTGGCCATAACTTGGTCCTTTGTAGGCCAGAAGACGCTCCCAGCCCTCACCACCACCACCACACACTGGGCAATGCTACCCAAGGGCTGGTGGCTCTGCCTCTGGTGTGACGGAGCCCAGCAGGACTTCCCCTGAGCTGGCTTCATCACCACCTGCATTGGCTGGGACAGGCTGGTGTACAGGTGCTGGCTGTCGTGAGCAGGACTGAGCTCCTGTCCTCAGCACACCCTGTGCACGGCAGTCACCTCCAGATGCCCTTGCAGCGGCTGCAGATCCAGAGCTAGGAGTGCTTTTCTGCTGGCTGCATCCAGCATCGGCTCTGTGCCCCACGCTGGGCAGGAGGAGAGCTGGAGCAGTCTGTGACCACTGGGCTGAGCTGTGCAGTGGAATGCTCTGATCTGATTGCAGTGACCGTGGCTTGGTCACAAATGGGATTAATGTTGCATAAGGAGGGGGAGTTGCAGAGACCTGCCAGGACTTAAAGCATCACTTAAGTGTACTTTTCTGCATTCTTAAGGAATCGAACCGTAAGTACTCTTTAAACTGAATTTAAAATGGTACAGCTAATCAGCAAAAAGCACACCCTACACACAGATGCTGCAGAGGCAATCTCTCCGCTGTTTTCCTTTATCTTGATCCATTCTGCCACCATAAGAGTTGTTTTCATTTGAGCAGCTGTAATAAATGAACACTTAGATTGTTACCCACCCACCATAAGCAGTGATAACAAGTCAGGTTTGTCATCTAAGGCATCTGGTGCTGCTGCTTTGAAGTAAGGCAGCTTTATTGCTAAATGCAGCTGTTCTGGCACGGCTCGCTCCAGCTGTGACATGGCTTTTTCCATGGTGTTTTATGAAGGAGAGATGTGGCAGCAGCTGGGGATGATTCTGAATTGCTTCTCTGTTTCTCATTTAATGTTTGGTTCATATTTACGTTTTGGTTCTGATTCTGAATCTGAGCCCCTATGGGCAGCACTGGTATCCATGGGAAACTTCCTGTAGGACCAAACAGTTCCTTGGGTTCTTGCTGCAGGTGGTTTTCGGTGCAAATGCAGCTTTGCAAGGTATCATTAATCATCAGGCATTTGGAAATCTGGCCTGAATTAAGGCAACAACAACAGACATCTGTTCCTGAATTGTTCCTCACCTGGGATGCTAACCTGCTCTCAGCAGTGCACTGTCCAAGCTCCTGTTGATTGAAACGGGTTAGGAAGGCCACAAGCTTTTATTGGCTGGATGCATGCTGTGTTGGTCTTGTTACCAATACCTTGTGCAGAAAGACTGCGGGGAGGTGCTCCCAGCCTTGGACTTGGCTCTCCCAGAAAGAAGGGTACGTAGCAAGAATGATCCTGTTGCAACTGCAGCTTGTTCTTGAGGTTTGTGGTTTCTTCAAGGCAGGAAGTTCAGTTCTGAACAATGTCAGCAACACAAAGGTAAGAGGTACAGGGAGTTACCAAGCAATGCTTTCAACCTGCTGAGGACAAACCATGTGTGTAAGTTCCCTTATTGTAACTCAACACTGGCAGAGGTGTGCAGAAATGATCTGTGCTACCAGAGAAGCGGTGCGTGCTGCAGAGCAGGCAGGCTCCAGCTTTACTGTTCCCATTCCAGTGTGGCATCCTGCATCCCTGTGGGAACATGGGATTCTGCTGGGCCGCTCAGCGCTGCCTTCATCTTTCCGATGTTGCCCCATTACTGTGTGCTTTTGAATGCTGCTCATTATTGATTGCAGAGGTTTTGAAAAGCAAGTTTGTTGATGGTTTGCAATGTCATTCACCTTACAGGTGAGAAACTACAGATAGAGGCTCAGTGCTGGGGAGGCGAAACATTGGGTAGGAACTGTTGTGCTATGAGGGCACAGCATGGAAATCACTGCGTGCAGAATTCTTCTGCTGACATTTGCACTGGTTAATGCAGCTGGTGAAGATTCACGAGATAGGGCAGAAAAAGAGACAGGAGGAAAAGCAGAACGAGGCACGCAGCCCCACTTCCTGCAGGGACCTCTGTGAGCATCAGCTTTGGCTGGGCTCATCATGGAGCACACTGAGGACATGAGATTGAAGCTGTATTTTATTGGAAATAACTACAAAAGACAACTTGCCTCCTCCCAAAGTCAGGCATTTCAGTCACAGCTTGTGATAGAAAAGGAAAGTGGCACAGTGCTGCAGAAAAGAGCCCTGCCACACACACAAAAAAGCTTCCCTACAGTCCATAGGTAGGTTTAATAAATAACGTGTCATAAGAATGCCTCTGCCTCTGGGACACCTTGTAAACCGTGTCTGGGCTACGAGGGTGAGCAGAGCCTTCCTGTGAGCTGCGCAGCCCCCTGCAGCTCAGCACTCCATCAGCAGTACCTGCAGTTTGCCTCATGGAACCTGCTTTGCTCTCGGCACTGATTTGAGTGCCATCTGCTCACACATCATTTGCACCACATCTCCAATACTAAATATTTATTTCTAGAACCTTTCTGCTGTGCTTTTTTTGCAGTTTAAGAGGAAAACTTGACTTTTGCCTTGCACACATACAAAGTTTATTCATTTCCAAGCGCTAGCTGTGGCAAAATTTAAATGTAAAACTTTGGAAAGCTTTATCTGTTAACAGAGCTGCTCAGGACATCACTCCTGCAATGCTTGTGGTTCAGGAATCCCTCTTCTTCAAGGTAAGGTGAGGAGCAAAGGAAAGAAACTTTGTTCCTGCACTGAAGAGTGCATCTGTAAAGCAGCACGAGGATTTCCTTGCTCCTATCTTATCCCTGTTCCTATTTATTTATCCTGTATCACTAACTAAGACACCTGCTCAGCATTTAGCCTGTGATGCTCTGTCTGAAGACCTTCCCTGTTCTGTGACTTGCAGGTATGGTATTTTTGTTCATACAGTATGCTCTGGATTGCACTTTCAAACTAGTGCAACCAACACATGAAAATGCTGGCCCTATTGTTTAAAACAAATAGCAAGGAAAAATTTCTCATATATCTTCAAAGAATGCCTAAGGCTGGTTTTAAAAGTGCAACAGAGGCTTAAACTGGCCTATGTAGTTTGTAAAACTGCTTTGCCTCATAGTGGTGAGAAAATAGTTGAAGGCGTTTTGCTTGTCTAGTCTTAAGGCAGAAGAAATAGCACCCTGAATGGCCCAAACTGGTCAGTGAGGTCTGCAGTGCTGACTGCAGATAAGCAATTTCCCACAGCTTGTAGGAACCTGGAATGAGTCTTTAGTGGCTTTTACCCAGAATGGAGCCCAAAACTTGGATCCACGGTAAGGCTTTAACAAAAACTAGATGGTTTGGCTCATGGCCTTTTCACTATTAAATCAAATAAATCCTCCCATCTGAGGACTCATAAGCTGAGACATTTGGTGCTCCGTGGCACAGCTTGTAGCCTTCTGCCACACTGATCCCTGAGTTGTAGGACTGTGACCCAGTCCCTCCTCTCCCCAGCTTTCTGTATTTACATGGTGTTAGAAGTGGAGCACACTACTTAGAAAAGATAAAGCATAGGAGAATAACACCATTTCATCATTGTCCTCTGAAAAACACAGCAGCACTCTTGCTCTGTTGTGTTCACTGTCCTGTTTGCTGGGACCTACCAGTACTGAAATACTGCTTCCAAGGCAGGATGGTCTCCACTATTCCCTTCCAGGTGGCTGGAGGGGAGGACATGGGGAGCTGCATCCTCCAGACCTCAGCTGAGGGCACAAGCCACCCATGTGCCCCCTGCCACCATCTGCTCCCCTGTGCTCACTGTACAGGTATCTGAATCCATCGTAGTATTCATCTGTCTCCATGGTGCCATCAGAGATTTGGGCTGTAGCAGACATGACAGCTGCTGAAACTGGCTGCCTTGCAGCGACCTGCAGCCTCACTTGATGAGAATCCTTCAGTTCAGAAGGGTAATAGCAGGGAAACTTGGCCTCAGTATCGCCCTGGATGGCTTGAGTGATGGGACAAAAAACATAAATGGCATTGGATGGCTCTAAGTGCATTAGCTCTTGATCCACGAGCTCTTTGCAGTGTGTGAATTCAGTGCTAGTTACCTGTAAAGAAAGTAAGAATTATTTTGTTTTGGTAAATTCATACAAAATTATTCTCTCCTCTGGCTTCTGTTCTAGCAGCTGTGTAATTGGGGGGATCTTAGGGACAGGCTATTCCAGATACCTCAGCTGATGCATAACAGCAATATGCACATTGGCCCTGATGCAAAACATTTAGTCAGGAGCTCCTAAACTAATACACAAAAGGCAGGCAAGCACTCCCTCTCTTTTTAGGAGGCTACAACAGCCAAGAAGGACAGCAGATAGCCAGGTTATGTCAAATAGTCAAGCTGATGAGTTGACGGTAAGCTGCCAACCTGGGTCATTTGCCTTCTAAGTGTACTTTCTTAGAAGCAAAGTGTTTTATGAAACTGGGGAAAAGTTTTAACAAAGCAGAGCTTGCTTCTTGTATGTATCATTAAAAGTGAAACTGATGATACTTAAAGTAACTGCTCTTAGAAGTCTTCAGGCTTCAGTTGGGAGGCAGGGAGCTGAGCTATCTGTGGCCAAGCTCTTTTGGAAGCCTCTGAAAAGTCAGCCAAAGGTAGCACTAACAAAGGTAGAACATGGACACAGGCTTCTCAGAAATGTGAGAAAGTGCAACGTGGGTTGCAAATACACGTGCTTTATTAATCTGCCAGTGTCTTGGCCTCAAGATATCGTGACCAAAGGCCATTTTGACTCCTACCTGTGCTTTTTTTAGCAGATCAGTAATAACAGGAAACCAATCAGGAGTCTGCCTCTCCAGCTCTAAGGTGATGATCACCAAAGCCAATGTGGAGCCCTTAAACTGCACTAGTTGGTGGCAAGCCATACAGTGCTGTAGCTGTTTGGTCAAGAATGCAACGTGGCGAGAAGGATTCGTCTGAGGCAGCCCGTTTAGTAGATGGGGCCAGTTGGACACCACCATGGCATGGAACTGGAGAGAAGAGAAAAAATATATATATATATTAGAAAAAAATTTAAAAAAGCAGAGGTCAGTGAACTTTATATGTTTTCATATGTTATCAACCAGACGTACAGACTTAATTTCATCTCATATCAGGAGGCCTAGAGGGTGTCCCCCCTGTCCCTGCCCCTCTTTTTTTTTGTGTTTGTACTTGCCAGCCACCAAACTGTTTTTTGAGCTTATAATGAATGTAAAGGTCTGTGTTTCCTAATAATTTCTGGGGTTTCTACTTTATCCAGATTGCTATCTAGGAGATTCAGTTCAGACCAGCACATGTGAAGAGAGTAAAACCAGTAATAATGACTGTACTCTGAATTTACTGAGGAAACAAGAAGAAAGGCAGTTTTTACAATCAGCAGCCTAAGATGGCTTAATATTTGCACATAATCTTATGAAAGGGTTCCGGGATGTTTGTATCATATGATTTTTGCCTTACTAGCACATGATCGTTTCTTGAAGACAAAGTTTAATCATTTCTATTGAGTATTTAGTAACTGCGACGTGAACTAAGTGCCACATTGGGGTCTAATTGCATAAAACCAGGGTGAAGTATCAGTGGGATGAAAAGGAAAGTGGTTTGAAAAACCTGTATATGAAATGTAGCAAAACTGATAGCTTTCTATGTACAGTATTAATAGAATGGAAATAGTTAGAAATATTTTTGCAGTGTGTATTTAAAAAAAATTAAAATGACGTATAGTTGTGCATTATGAGAATCTTTTTAATGTCCATTTTAGTTGTCCTTTAAAGATGGGAGTAGATTTTTTTGAGCAAAATGAAAGGTTTTAAATAGCAGTAAATTAAAAAATGCATAATCACCATAACATTCTTCAAAAGACTTGCAGATAGCTAAGAACTGGTAGTTGACAAAGCTTCTTGGGAAGGATGTGTGATGTGTGCACATCTGTGTTTTCTAGTCTCATTTGATAAGAAGTTGTTTCTTTAAACAAAACAGAATTGCAAAACATAGTGCTTACAATGTGTAAGAAATCCATTGGTGTTGCTGTGTAAAGATCCCAGTGAAGCTTATCTAGTATAATCCTTTCCATTCTCAAGATCTCAGCTGGAGAGCGTTTACAGCCACTCTGCACTGCAAGCGTCTTCACCGATGGTATTACCTGTTAAAAAAAATTAAAGGAGTTAAAAAATAATAAAGAAGCCAACTTCTTACACAGTGCTGTGTGCGTTTCTCTGTGCTGTGCTCTGAAAACTCTGTGCTCATCCCGAAGCACAAAGCAGGATGCTCATTCAGGAGACCACTTAGAAAATTCCCATTCTAAACACAGGCAGGCCGTCCTCCTCCCAGGGCAGCTGGCAGTGAACCCAGCCCTACAGCAGGAGCGATGCTGTGAGCCACCTGCGTGCTGCACTGCGAGGCACGTTCCCTGCTACCTCGTTAGCTTTGCTCCCCTGATGGGCAAGGAGAAGGTTTCCAGTTTTACAGAGACTTTCGTGGTTGTCTCGTTTCCTGTGGTCATTGGCTCAGCTTCTCCTTTTTAGCTGAGGGGAAAAGAAGAATAACCTCATCGTGATGCACCCTAAGAAGGCCTATGAAGAGCATTTCACTACAGGAGCAGTTCATTAAAAGAATTGCCTGCAACTCCTAAGTTTCCTGTTCCTTTTCAAAACAGAACGAAGGAAAGAGGAGAAACAGAATCTGAAATGCTTTTCAAGGTCTATTTGGCTCATGTCTGTCAGTGTCTGGAGAACTGTGTGCCATGACGGCTTTCAGCTATGTGCACTGGATAATTATCCCTTGTGATCTCACACTTACATGGGTACTTGCTGATTTTACATGTTCACCTTGAGGTGCAGACCTGAGTCATTTCCTCACCCAGTTCAGTAACTGGTTTTGAATTGAAGCAAACTCATCTATCTGAAATCTCCTCTAAAGAATCTCTGTTCTGTCTTGCCTACCCTATCCTCCCAGGACCCTTCACAACAGAATTACATGCACACAAAGCTGTGCACATGTGTCTTGGCTGTCACTAGATCAAGCTTTATTGCGAGCTGTGAATTCTGATGAGGAGAGGTTTAAGTGCAGCAGGGGAATACGTTCATTACTTCACAGTGACCTTGAAGGATGAAGGACCAACTCTTACTCATGCTGAGGAAACGGGACTGAAAATGTTACTGCCACCCCTTTGGGGCTATGCAGGGTAAACAAATTTACACTTCCTCATTATGCCCAAGTTGATGAAAGACCTGGAAATGCAAACAAC